GCCACGCGGCCACCGGCCAAGATGGCGTCGCCGTGGACAAGGCATGCCGCGGGGTCATGGGGTCACGGACCCCAAACAGAGGTGGCTGCTCCTCGCGGAAGGAAGCCTACAGGACTTGCATGGTCGCCGTGACGGCCAAGTGCACGGCGCCTTTGGGCTGGTCATGCTGACACTGGCCCTCCTCACCTGGACAGAGGGAGGGTGCACAAGCTCATTTTCAAGTGTGACCTTAGTGAACTTTCCTAGTCGTGAAGAAAGGTGAAAGCCCTCTAAACTATGGAGAGCCCTGCAGGAGCCCATGTGAGCATCCACCCCGTAATGGGTGGGAGCTGTGTGCCTAGGTGGGCTGCATGGTTTCCTTGCTCCAGGTAGTACTACAACCCAGTCAGTCTACTTGGTGGTGGAGCACCTTCTGAGTTTCACGCTGAAGGACCAGTGCCCTGACAGAGTTCAAGCAGAGTTGTGTAGAACAAAAGGATGGTAGGCTCACAATAGATGCCCCTTACTAAGCTGTCTCCCGTGGTACCATCACCCCAATTTCCTCCGTCAGCCCCTTGCAGGGCAGCTGTTATTTTAACCGTGTTGTATTGCAGGTGCATAAAGGACAAAAAAGTTAAACCCTTTGCTCCCAAGCTCCCCAAACAAAGTTAAAGCAGGAGGAACAGACAGCCACTACCCCATCTCTGGTTTCAAAGAGTGTGAAAAGTGACATCTTTTGGGGTAATAAACTGGTGACAGGTGAATCCATCTACCTAACAGGAAGCTTCCTGTGAGCACCGTTTGCTACTGGTGGATGTTCTCCGAGAGCTTCCAGTTAAGTTTGGAAACCTTGGTTAGGAAGTGTTTTCACTGATAGACAAGAGGCAAAAAGCCAGTATTTTAAGCAACGCCTTTGAATAATTGACTATAAAAAGTACTGTTTTAATTCAGAATAGCTTTAATTAGGAAAGCTATTTTGAATTAAATGTATATATACATATATATATACACACAATATGGATATATGTTGTAGGAGTAATATAATTAAAACAACTTAAATACAGAAATGAGCTGGGGAATCTTTCCTACATTGTGGGAATTTAAAAAAAAAATGTTCATTTTAAATTACTATGCCCTGAAAAGATAACACTGCCAAGAAGAATTGTGTTCTCCCAGCCAAGCACCAGCTAATCTGGGAGCACATTTCCTATTGTTTCCTTTGCATAGATTCCATTTGATATGCCCAGTTTTCAGTCCAATTCTACCGTAGTGAGTAACCAACCAAACTTAAGAGTATGGAAAGAAAGCCAGGGTATCACACCTCAGGATGCTACCATCTAGCTGTTGGTAACTAGCCTTGTATCCTCTCTCACTTTGCCAGCTACATCCGGTTCTCCCAGATCTGTGCAAAAGCAGTGAGGGATGCCCTGAAGACCGAGTTCAAAGCGAATGCTGAGAAGACTTCAGGCAGCAGCATAAAGACTGTGAAAGTGAAGAAGGAGTAGCTGGTAAGAAGGAGTAGCTGGTGAGTCACTGGCTTCCTCAGGAGTCTCCCCTTCAAGTTTCTAAAGTGCCATAAAACCAAAACTCAAAAACTTCAGTTTGAGTGTCTGCCTCTCGCTCGGCGGGTGGATTTGGATGCCAGTTACCGGGGCGATGTTTCCAACTGCGCAGGTTGTAGACGTCCCCTGGCATGAGGGAGGAGAGCCCCGTTCAGCCCTGACAAACAGAATAATTGGCACATTGATTTTCAGTGCAGTTAGCAATCCTGAGATAGAAACCCATCTTATTTTAATTAAACCTGGTTCATTTATCTGTACAAAATCAAGTAATTGGGAGGATAGCACCCTTGCGTGCGTGTGTACACACACAGACACAAAACCCACTTTTGTAATTGCTATTGGAGTTATGTAACAGTCTGGAGCATGAGACATGGACGGCGGTACTTGGAGTGTTCCTCCCCCATAGCTGCTAGCGTCCTCACGAATCTCTTCTCCCCGACATCCAGGCAGGAAGGGCTGTTAACCCCAGGTGAGTCCTTTCCTGCTGAGTTCCTTGTGTGGTCAGGGAGGCGGGCTCAGTTTACCTGTGCAGAGGTGTTGGGAGTGTAAGAAGTTGGCAGAACAAAGTGGTTCAGTGAATTCAGATTGCAGTTCTCCAGACTGATTCGATCTCGCAGCTGCTTTATGTACATTGTTGTTTCAAAGATAAGCACCTCAAGTCATCATAGAGATAGTCCTCAGATTTCCTCTTCCTGTGCTTTTGAAAAGCGTCAGCTCTGCAGTAGCACAGCCCATGACACTGGTGCTCCAGGCCTGACTGAAACTCTCCCTAAGTACATTTCATCTTCATCTCAAATGAACGGACATCTTACTCTGAACCAGGAGATGTGGGGTTTTGAACGGAGCCCCTTTCCTGAGGTCTATCCAGTCTCAGAATTTGGACCAGTAAAACCTGATTTATGTCGGGCTGATCACACTCCACAGCGAGTAGAGTCTCCTCACCTGCCTGCAGTCACGCCATGCTAGGCTTTGGCTTACTCCTGTGACTTGGTCGGAGCCTTGGCTTGGCCAGGCAGCTCTACAACAGGGAGAACCCAAGCCTGTTGGGAAGGGGGAAGGGGGTCATAGTATCTTGAGCACAAAGCTTTTTCTGTCACAGTAGAAATGATTGAGTCAAGGACACGCCTATGGGAGGCTCTGGTCTCCCCTGGGGGTCGCTGCCATAGTCTGCTGCAGGCAGATGCAGGTAGCCTCTCGTTGTCATGGCGGCTGTGAAGGAGATGTGGCAAGCTAGCAACCGTTGCGTTCTCTTTTCTCTTCCTAGAAGCTGACTGGAGCCTGAAGTGCCGAGTCTTCAAGGTGAAGCATGTGGGCCCTGTTCTGGCAGATGGAAATCAACCTCGCCTCCTGGGGACAGACTGCCCGGCTTGTTGATAAATTGACTATGCCAATAAATTAACATGGTTCACTCTCTGCTGGGTTTTGCTTCTGTTCTACTTTTTTTTTCTTAAATAGGAATTTTCCACATAGTCATGTCAGTGTGACCATAGGAACCAGGAGTTTTTAAAAGGAGGGAAGGGCTTAATATCTACTGACCATGAACTTAATATCTACTGACCATGGACTTAATATCTCCTGACCATGGGCTTAATATCTACTGACCATGAACTTAATATCTCCTGACCATGAACTTAATATCTACTGACCATGGGCTTAACATCTACTGACCATGGACTTAACATCTACTGACCATGGACTTAACATCTACTGACCATGGACTTAATATCTACCGACCATGGGCTTAATATCTACTGACCAACTGACCATGGGCTTAATATCTACTGACGATGGGCTTAATATCTACTGACCATGGACTTAATATCTCCTGACCATGGGCTTAATATCTACTGACCATGGGCTTAACATCTACTGACGATGGGCTTAATATCTACTCACCATGGGCTTAATATCTCCTGACCATGGACTATGGGGACCACTGCTTATTACTTGTATCAAAGTGAACATTCTGTCTGTCGTAGCAGTAGTTGGTGAAAGTTTGGCACTGTCATGGAGTTTGTGTTGTATCGGGAGCCATCATAGGAGAAGCTAATCACTAGCAGGTGATCTTCCTGAGATGAGTCCAGCTCCAGAAGGCAAGGCCTAGGAGAAATCCATTTTAGGAAAGATTCCTGCTAGTTACTGGCTTCTCCTATGATGTCTTATGATGGCTCCTGACAGTGTTGTTCCTAGTCTCTGAATGGCATTCGCATTAAAGCAGTAGTTCTAGGTGGTTCCAATTAGCCCGTAACCCAGATGAAACAGCACACATTAGAGGGACAGATTGTATAACTCATCTTGCGTCACGAAACCTGGAGAGAAGAGCCATTAACATCAGAGTTTTATCTAGACAAAATGCTTTCCGCCTTTATTAATCTCTATTTTCTAGGCATATTTCTCACTGGGAGTGAGGCAGAGCCAGTCAATACCTTGCATCCTGTGTCTATGTCTGAACTGCAATTAAAACCTGGGACTCTTAATGACCAGTCTAGGCACAGTGATTAGGACAGTCTGATGGTGTTTAGGTGGCCATCCATTCATTAAATGTTTAGGAATAAAACGTTTTATTCTTGCCTTTCTTTGGAACATGGCCACTCTTGGCTGAGCAGAGCCACTGAGAAGCTTAGAGCAGAAAAATGACTAGAACCCCTGCTCAGTGTGTCACTTCAGCTGAGGCTGAAGACAGGGGAGAAAGCCTCTTTGTTTTCAACCCCTAGGGCTGGCTTCCCGTCCTCAGTACACTTCACATCTGGGTCTTATCGGATTCTCCACTCAAGACCGATCAGCAGATTGAAAGGTTAGGAGCCTTGGTGTCTGCCCGGGAGCTGAAGTCCTCTGATGGACTTGTGGCATTTGGCTCTATACCACCTTCCCTAGGTTAAGGTCCCAGGAAGCATCTCCCATGACCAGGAATGGGGGCAGCAGACACCTAACCCTTCTTAACATAAGGTTAACCAGTAAGCAAAGGGCTAAGTGACTCCCAGCTTGGGGAGTTCTTTATGAGGGGAGCCAAAGGGCTGGCTAGGGGTGGACTCGGGATATGAATTAAAGTACCAAATACAGCCAAAATTGTGTGTCCATCAAGGATTCAGAGACTCTATAGCTGATCCAACAAAATATTGAATTAATGCCAGGATCAAATAGACTCAGGTCCAGCCCCTCAGGGTGACACAGAACAACTTGACAGGTGATGAGGCTAACCCAGCCACTTCTCAGCATGTGACTAACGATATCAGAGGCAGAAGTGTGTCCTTATGTGCAAAACAAAGGAATCCAGGGAGCTTTGAAACTGACTCCTGTTGATTTGAGCTGCACCAATGTCACCATGGCAACCATACTACTGAAGGGACCAGGTGTCCCTGGGCACTTAGTTGGTGATTTAATCTACCTGTGCCTTATAGAACAGGAGGTTGAGATGCATCAGTGCGAGTGGTCGGGCTTCAAGAAAAGGAGTTTGTTGAGTCTGAGATAAAATGACTCAGTCATTTAAAGTGGAATTTATTTGCATTTTAGTGATTGTTAGTGAACAAACAGAAGTCTTCACAGTCTTAGAAAACAAAAATTTTTCTCAAAAGAATGAAGGTCTAGTTTTTGCACACATGTCATTGCCTTTTGAAGTTTACAGTGAAAGCATCCGGGTTACGCATGCAGCTGACTCCCGCAGAGTCGTGGGCTCAAAGATTTGTTGGACTCTAAGGAAGGTTTTCCAGCTGAGAATGGAGAGGTGCAGATCTCACTTTAAGCCAGTGTTTCTCAGTCCACACCAAAGGGGAAAGTATTTAAGTGCTTTTTTTCAATTATGTAAACAGGAGCTTGGCAAGTCATATGAACAACAGGGCCTGATTTTCTCTAAATAAGAACTTTAAGTATTTCCTCACAGTGTACATACGAAGAGAGTGCCATCCACCTGCTGCTTTATTATTTTGATGATTATAAACTGAGGGCCCAAGGAAATAGCTGGTTACAGAGGACTCGCCTAGCATTTCCCAAGGCCTTGGGTTCCATCCCAAGCATCCTGGAGACAAACCAAGATGTTAGAATCCAGTTTCATGCAAATAACTCCCTTTGGAGAGGTCAAATAGGAGAGCTGGGTAATTCCAGCAGACCACGAAGACCCCATGCACCTCAGACCTAGGTAGACCGTAAGAGGCTCCTGTGTGCTCAGTCCTGTTATAATGTGAGATAACAACCGAATAACGCTGTGTCATCCTGCTAATGTCTATGGCAACTTCTGCAAATTAATCTGAACTATAAAAGTTCCCTAATGAGACCATGTCCTCTGTCACCGAGGAGGACGCTGCAGCATCTCGGCTACGTTCCTGCATTCGAATGGTTGCTGCGTATGCCTCGTGCCCTTTCCAGGGAGCAGAGAGGCTGCACGGCAGTTTCAGGGGTGGTGAGTAAGTGAAAAAGAAAAGGACATCCTCAGCCTTTAAGAGGAAAACCAAGGACAATCATTAGTGAACTACTGGCATCTTGTTCTAATAAGAAAACACAGAGAAACAGGTTGGAAGCTGGTTACTGGGAAACAAAGGCCCGGGGACTGGAACGCTTTGCTCTGGATAGTCTTTTGGATGGTGGGGGCCAAGAGGAGAGACGTGGCTTTTCTTGCCTCCCTTTGTCTTTTTCCAGTCAGCCTGTCGAATGGTACAGAAGGTCCACACAGCTTGACCATGGAGGCGGACTCATACTTCCGTTGGCCCTGAACCTCCCACACACTCTTTAGACACCCAGCTCTGCTGGCTTTGTGAAAGAGGACTCTGAAGCATCCGAGCTGCCCTAGGTATTGGGTACCCAGCAATGCTGCGAAAGGGCTCCTGGCAAGCTTGCACACTTTGTCCGGGTGTCTATCCTACAGCTAGTAAAAAAATAAATAGGGCTCACTACAGTAAACTCACTTGCTATTTAGAAAGGAAGAAGGAAAAGCATGCACTGGCTATGAAGCCCCGTCTAGTGATTGTGGGCAAAGGCCTATGGCTCTCATTGCTATGTCAAGGTGAGGAACTAGGCCCTAAGGACTTCAGGACAGCCACAAATCTTGTGGAAAACTTCTAAAAGTGGCTGCCCTGTAGCTTCTCTCCTAGCTAAGGGTCTTTGTCTTCTGTCTCCATCTCTGCCTCCTCCTCCCCACTGTCCTCTAGCCCTGCTCTGACGTCTTGAAATTGTTGGTACTCGGACACCAGGTCATGGATGTCACTCTCCGCTTCCCCAAATTCACTTATGTCCATCCCTTCACTGGTGTACCAGTGCACAAAAGCTCTCCTTCTGAACATAGCTGAGAAGTGCTCAGAGACCCTAGTGAAGAGCTCTTGGATGGCTGTATTGTTGCCCAGGAAGGTAGCCGCCATGTTCAGCCCCCGGGGCGGGATGTCACACACAGCTACCTTGACATTGTTGGGAATCCATTCCACAAAGCAGTTGCTGTTCCTTGTCTGAATGGACAGCAGCTGTTGGTCCACTTCCTTGGTGGACATCTTACCCCGGAAGATACAAGCCACAGTCAGGTAGCGGCCACGGCGAGGGTCACAGGCAGCCATGATGTTGCGGGCATCGAACATCTGTTGGGTGAGCTCCGCCACAGAGAAGGCACGGTACTGCTGGCTACCCTGGGCTGTGAGCGGAGCAAAGCCAGGCATGAAGAAGTGAAGACGAGGAAAGGGAACCATATTCACTGCCAGCTTGCGCAGGTCTGCATTGAGCTGGCCGGGAAAGCGCAGTGAAGTCGTGATCCCGCTCATGGTCAAGGATACCAGGTGGTTGAGATCCCCGTAGGTGGGTGTCGTCAGCCTCAGGGTGCGGAAACAAATGTCATAGAGTGCTTCGTTGTCGATGCAAAAGCAGGCATCTGTGTTCTCTATCAGCTGGTGAATGGACAGCACGGCGTTGTAGGGCTCTACCACTGTGTCTGACACCTTGGGAGATGGCATGACGCTAAAAGAGTTTAGAATCCGATCCGGGTACTCCTCCCTGATCTTGTTCATGAGCAGGGTGCCCATGCCTGAGCCAGTGCCTCCACCCAGGGAGTGCACGATCTGGAAACCCTGTAGGCAGTCGCAGCTCTCGCTCTCTCTCCTCACCACATCCATGACGCTCTCGATCAGCTCCGCTCCCTCTGTGTAGTGGCCCTTGGCCCAGTTGTTACCAGCACCAGAATTACCTGTGACCAGAAGTGTGAGAGGGGGAAGGTAAGGTGAGCAGAGAGCCACTGGACGACATCCAGCTCTTCCTGGTAGAAACTTCTGCGAAAAAAACCTACCATGAACAAAACTATCAGGCTGAAAGAGGACTCCCAATCTGCTGGATCGAATGCTATCCATTGTCCCGGGTTCGAGGTCCACCAAGACAGCTCGGGGCACGTACTTCTTACCTGTGCAGATTAGTCAGAACAAGTCATCAGGTGGCTGTTTTCCTAAAAGCTAATGTTTCATCAAAATGGATCCTTGGGGTGCTGGCCCCAAAACCATAAGTATCCTAGAGGGAGGCTTTGGTAAGTAGACATTTCCTCTTTTTGTCTTTTCTTTCTTTCTTTCTCTTCCTTCCTTCCTTCCTTCCTTCCTTCCTTCCTTCCTTCCTTCCTTCCTTTCTTTCTCTCTTTCTTTCTTTCTTTCTTCCTTTCTGTTTTTAGTATACAATAGAGTTTATTTAGGGCATGGGGAGGGAAGTTGAGAGGGTAATAGAGGCAAAGAAAGGAAGATATAGCTAGGTAGCTAGGTAGCTAGCTAGCTAGATGATAGATAGATAGATAGATAGATAGATAGATAGATAGATAGATGGTTGAGGAAGAAGAGGAAGAGGAGGAAGAGGAGGAAGAGGAGGAGGAGGAGGAGGAGGAGGAGGAGGAGGAGAGGATGGCCATGAGCATGTGGAGAGAGAGGTGGGAGGGAATGGGGAGAGAAGGGACTGAGAGGGAAAGAGAGAGCAAGAGAAGAGGGTAAGTAGACGTTTTAATTTCCATGGTCATATCTGACCCAGCCCACCATGACATGGATCTATATAAATACCTTTTTAAAACTCAGCTTCTCTCTCTACTGTGTGTCTGGCTCACTGTCTCACCAAGAACATGGATGTTCACCCTTCCCATGGGGAATGACTGGCTAACATGGCTGAACACATCTCATCCTGCTCCGTGCAACTGGAATGGACCACTCGCCATTCAGACTCCGAAGCCCTACATGCCTGCCCATTCCACGTGGGAGCTTCATTCTTTCACACTGGGGTCATCTTCTCTGCCCCTGCTGCCCAGATGGCAGGCCAGAGCTCACCCAGCAGGCAGCCCTACCATAGGCTTCATTGTAGTAAACGCTGATCCTCTCCAGCTGAAGAGCAGAAGCCCCACAGTAGCTCCCGGCGCTGTCAATCCCATGTTCTTCCCCGATCACCTCCCAGAACTGTAGGCAGAGGGAGTAAAGTCAGTCCAGAAACTTAGGAGGAGAAGAGGCATCGGCGGCTCGGCAGCTCTGCCAGGAAAGGGGCTTGCCACCCAGGCTGACCACCTGAGTTTGATTCCTGTGACCCCACGTGGTGGAAGGAGAGGACCAACTACCCCAAATTGTCCTCTGATCACCCACTTACACCACAGCAAGTGTGCACCCTCTTGCACACGCACTCATAAGTAGATGATAGATAGATAGATGATAGATAGATAGATAGATAGATAGATGATAGATAGACCAGACAGACAGACAGACAGACAGATAGAGTAAGAAGAAAAGCAATTGAAAGGGTGAGTTGGCCCCTGTGAGGGAGTTGGTGCCCTGGGGGCTGCCTGACCCTGCCCTTCTCGTCCTCCTCCCCACCACCCCCTTCTCTTCTTGCCTCCACTCTGTGTGACTTGGAAGGCTGCCCTAGATCCATCTGAACTCCTGAAGTGAAATGTCAAACACGTAAAACATTACATTGGATTTTGCTATTAACCCTGGTTTGTTACAGCAGGTCCTTTTAGAATCTCACTTCAGATGAGGGAGCTCAAATTTCGCCTTTGCCTAGGTCTGAGCTGGAGAAGTGCTGATCTCAGGAAATGAGAACAAACTGAATTCTTATTTGTTTCACAATGGTACCTACCTTTTTGCTTTGGGAATTTTTCTTCATGAAATTCATTTCAAAAGTCCACAACCAGGGTCATTCTGCACAATTTGATGTAATGTGTTTTGACCATTCGACATAGTCCCGATTCAGAATTTTGTAGAACCTTTATCTTGCAACTGTTTGGAATATTCTATGTTTCCAATCATGCATACAACATTTCTTTTCTTTCTTCCTTCCTTCCTTCCTTCTTTCTTTTCTTTTCTTTTCTTTTTTTTTTTTTTTGAGATAGACTCTTACTGTGTAGCCCTGGCTGGCCTGCGACTTGCCATGTAGACTAGGCTGGCCTCAAACTCAGCCTCCTGAGTGCTGACTTAAAAGAGGTGTGCCATCATACCCGGCTGAGTAAAGCATTTTATTTATTTTTTGTTCATTTATTCACTTTTTCATGTGTGTTTGCTAATGTGTGCAAAAACAATCAGTAGTAGTGAGTCCTCCCTACCACGTAGGTCCACAGGATGGAACTCAGGTCATCAGGCTTGGCGGCAAGCACCTTTACCAGCTGAACCATCTTACCAGCCCACAGCATCTGTTAACGCAGGAAACTACTGGAATGGTCTCGTTAGGCCATTCAGAAAAGCTCTCCTATTAAAGCACAATAAAAATGCATTCCCTTGAGTTGAAAGTCTCCAAGAGTGTTCTCCCAAGCCTACTCTGTCACTCTGCTCCAGTGACACGCTTAATAAGAACGTACTGTGCGTTTGAAGAGCTGGGGAGGAAGTTCGAGGAAGTTGTGAGGCGGTAGAGATGAACTGTTGCCTTAGCTTTGTGTCTATGTGTTCATGATTGTGTGCACGTGCACCTGTTAGTGTACGTACACTTGCTTGAGTGTGTGAGTGAAGGTCGGAGGTCGAGGTCAAGGTCTGGTGGTTTCTTCAGTCATTCTTATCCTTACCTTTAAAGACAGGTTTGCTCACTGGTTTTGATCCAAACCTGTGACCGTTTACCTGCCTTCCGATATGGGTGTTTGGGATCTAAACTCAGGTCTTCATGCTCCCACGGCAAGAGCTTTCCCAGTTAAGCCGTCTCTCCAGACTAGAATGCTTCTTAACATTTCTTATAGACCCTACAAGAAGTCATGACTGGGACTCCAACCACCAGATGGCACAATCCCGAAGGCTGCCAGAGCTGATGCTCTCCTATCTTTCTGCTCACTTCCTCCCCAGAGCCTCTCTCTGCCTTATCACCTAAGGTCAGAGCAGTCTCGATGAGCCCTACCCACCCCCACTTCTCTGGTGATTATGAAGGTCTGATCTGACGCCCGTGGCACCTAAGGGTGATGGATGCTTTTCAGGCAGGAATAATGTTTGCCCTAGGGCTCTAGGACCTACAGTTCAAGGCAACCCAGCTCTGGCTCTCCCAAGTGTCAACTCACCCATAGGCCTCCAAAGCAACATAGCTCAGAGACACTTGCACATCCATGTAGATTGTACACCGTTTGTCAAAACTAAGAAGTGGAACTAACATGGCAGTCCCTAAGTAAAGTGTTGGATAGGAAATATGGCTACAACCGGGCGGTGGTGGCGCACGCCTTTAGTCCCAGCACTTGGGAGGCAGAGGCAGGTGGATTTCTGAGTTCGAGGCCAGCCTGGTCTACAGAGTGAGTTCCAGGACAGCCAGGGCTATACAGAGAAACCCTGTCTCGCAAAACCAAAAAAAAAAAAAAAAAAAAAAAAGAAAGGAATTAATCATA